GAAAAAGAAGACTGCAGATGTGAGAGAAAGTGCAAGTGTGATGATTACAAACATGAAAGATTTGTTGGATAAGCCGGAACTGTAGATAAAGTTTTGAAGAGTGCAGGGATATTAATTGACTGGACAAAGGTGCCTGAAATTAACAAAATGGATGAGTTGAAAGAATATGGTGAGACACAGATGGATGACTTAATAGCTCATTATGAGACTGTGCTTCAACACCAAGGATGCTCAACCCTGAAAATAAAGAAAGAGTGGCTAATGTTTCCCTCCGAAAGGCAGGGCTCTGAGTGAGAACAAGACAAGTTCAGTCTTGAAAAAAGCAAGGAAATTTCCCAGTCTGTCTCATTTGGCTCCTATAATCCCTGTTTTCTTTGAAGAGGCGCATCCTTGGTGACTGAAGGCATTTGCTTTCCAGAGATATGCTTGTAAAGATCATGCTTATATGTCCCAATGGTCCTGGGATCAAAGAATTCTACCCAGAACTCTGCATTGCCAAGGGGCAAAAGATGTGTCTCACAAATAGACGTCTTGATAATACAGCACTGTTCCCTGAAATCATCTGCTCTGTTAATACTTTTTAAAATCACTTGACTTGTGTTTTCCCATAAGGGACAAACAGTAAACCAGTCTTTTTCTTTCTGTGTGTGCCAACAAATATTTTCAATATTCTGATCATCTAGTGATTTACTTAGTTTTCACTCATGATTTTACGAATTTTACGATAACTCTATACTTTTGTTGAGAGCAAGAATAAAGTGTATTGTTATAAACGTTGTGATGCACGATCCAGTATTACCAACTTTAATCAACAAAATGATCACCTATAATTTTTGCCTTGGTGTCCAAGAAAATCGCCTTGGTGCCCTCTGATTTTTAGGCCCCACCGAGGCAATTTTTGCCTGCCCTCCTGAACACCTAATTCAAGCCCTGCATAAAGGCCAATGGCCTTCATAAAATTCAAAATTCTGCTGGGACCAACGACGGTAAAATGTCTTGCAATTTCTTGCATTTATAATATTTCCTTCGGATCTATCCAAAGTCTAGACATTCGGTTAAGATGTGTCTAACGGTAAAATCTGTGTCGCATCCGACACAGAACGGCTTCTCATCTCCCTTTAGGAGGTATTTGTGGGTCAGGGCCGTGTGTCCGATGCGCAATGGAGTAAAAATGACTTCGTCTCTTCTGGAGAGGTCCGAAGGATTTCGCTGTTTCAGTTTGGGTTTTATAAAATACAGTTTATTGTTTTTCTGTTTTTCCCAGTGGCTCTCCCACAGACTGGAGCACCTGTCTGCTGGAACAATGCTTCTGTGTCAACCCAGCTTGATTCCTTTATGAACCAATTAGTATCGATGAGGACATAAAACGCTTACGATTATATAAACCTATAAACGTTTTTACGTTCGAAAAGTCTACCGTTTGCTGTAATCACAGCAGAGGGTCTCTGACGTAGCTAGGAATTCTGTACTGTAGTGCAACCTGTGCTAATAGAAGAATGCCAGCAAGGTTAGGGGGTTCGACATGAAATCTGTTTGGGCTAAAGGAGGGCCGGCAGCCAATTACTTTGTTATGAAGATAGTATGCTTATGGCCCTCAGCGTCCACCGCAATTTCTATTACAGTGATATCGGCTAAGAGCGGTATTTATAGTCGTGGCAATTCCGAGATATAGATCTACAAATTATCTTGGTACCTCAACTAGAGGTATACGAGAATTATGTATGTAGATAGATAGATAGATAGATAGATAGATAGATAGATAGATAGATAGATAGATAG